CAACACATACAGTGGGTAAAATAAGTATTGAACACACTTACTGAAATTTATCTAATACTTTGTACAAAAGCCAACATCTGGTGAAAATTTCATGTCATTAGAACCTCTAGTAATATATTTACTGAGAAAAATGTTGATGTGTTCAATACTTATTTTACCCACTGTATGTGTTGGTGTAGATTATCAGTCATCCAACACATGGCAAACCTCCATCTTCTGTCTCTTATTTGTAATCGGGAAACACTTTCTATCTCGTCCTAGCTAAACCCCAAGGCGTTTCCAGGACAGAGAAGATAAACCCTCCAGAAAGTCCTGGGTCTTTAACATGGCCTCCTATCAGTGGGGAAATGCATGGATCACCTCTAAAGGGAGGCAATAGTCATGTTTCCATCCAATTTTAATTCGAAATTTGAGCGATTCTTTTTTTTTAAATTTCTCAAAAAGGAAAAAACAGAGATGTGAATCAGACGTGTTTCCATCAACTGGCTTGAAGCAAATCATTTACATTAGAAGCATGTGTGTAGTAAACAGGAAGTAAAAGTCGCGAACTCGCAGGGTCCACACATCTCAGGACAATGGAGAGAAGTTATAAGGAACGTGTTGCTACTATCGGGAAAGTTTTATTCTGTCATATCAACTAGTTCGGGCGATTTTACATGCTGTCTGGAGATGTAGAAAAATAAATGTGATTCTCTTCATGTTACGGGAATAACTGAGAATACACTGACAGCGGGAGGAGGGTCCTGCTGCAGTCTCTCTGGTACCGGTGTTGTGTGAATTTCAGTTCCCCTGTGAAAATCTGTTCCCCCCAGTGGTTAACCTTAGAGAATCACTGGTCCAGGCATAACGTCAGACCAGAGGGAGGCGCTTCGGAGGCGCTTCCAACACAGGGGAAACAGATTTTCACAGGGGAACTGAAAATCGTACAACACCGGTACCGGTTTCAGACAGACGGTGGGAACACCTGAATAGCTATGTCAGGTAAATGTTTGCTATGTCAGAACTTATTTGACAAATGTGTTTCCATCTCTCCTTTTGCGCATTAACTCTTTTTCGAAAACCCCAAAAAACACCTCAAGCGAGCGTATCAACTTTTTGCGAATTAGAGGACGTTTTTTCGAATTATGCCATTTCCATTCACCTTTTCTGATGCAATACTTTAAAATGCACATTAAAAAACGTTGTTGGAAACATGGCTAATCAGGAGAAACTCTAGCAAATGACTGAACCACCTCAACTGACTCCTTTTAATGCTGAGGAGCAGCAGCTTCACTCCGAGCTCCCCCCAGATGAGTAAGCTCGTTTCAGCTGGTTGTATCCAAAATCTTGTTCTTTCAGTCATGGTCCATGTCTTATAATGATATGTGAGGGTTGGAAAGTAGACAGACCAGTAAACTGAGAGCTTTGCCTTTTAACGCAGTTTCTTCACCACCATTGACAGAAGCAACATGGCAAACCTAAAAGGTAAAAAAATAGGACAAAGCAAAATGACTTCTTTCCTTTAGCTGGAGACAAGTGTAGAGATCAGCGTTGATCAAAAATGGAAGTCTGATTAATATCAGAAACCCACTTGGATATCCTTAAAAATTCTTATTCCAAATCTGCTCCAGTCAGTCTCATAAGCACATACAACACAGCAGTCAGGTAAGGCCTTGAGTCGTATCTGAAAACCCAAACAAAACAGCCCAGTCTGTTCCAGGCTGAATCTAAACAGAGACTCTCTGCACAACTCAAAAGTTCTTCTACCTTCTCATATAGTGATGAGTTGTCGTTATAATGTACATATCTTCCTGGTTACACCCCTGGAGGTTTTTACCTTTTACGTCAGATGTTAGTGTAACCAACTTTTGTTTATGCTACACTAATCTTTTATAAAAAATTTCCTCCACGAGCAAAGATCCAGGCTTTAAACTGCATGATAAATTGATAATATCATCTGGATTGATTCCCATACTCTTACTTGGCATAAAAGATAAAAAGAAACATCACCCTTCATGCTGAGTTTAGGGTTTTGTAATGGACAGTACATGAAAATTATGCAACATTAAAAAAGTCCAGCAGTATTAAAATAATTTCAAACCGATCTGAAAAGCAGATCAAATTAAAACCTGATCAGTAGCATAAGTAGCATCAACAGCTGCACAAACTGTTTTGTAATTTAGTTCTACTGCCTTACAAATGTCAGGATCATGACAGTACCCCTCATTCAAGAGATAGCTTCCTATTAGGTGAAAAATGTCTTGAATAAGAAGGTGCATGGAGGGAGATACCTGGCAAAAAATAAAGAGTAAAATAAAGCAAGACATTTAAAGCGGCAGTTCAAGACAGTTGTATTAGATCTCAGGGAAGGGTAGATGTTGAGATAATGCTAAAGGCTGGAAAATGGGTGGACGTATGTCCATGCATAATTTTTCAAAGACATTTTTAAACAAAGGGCTTTAAAATGACCATAAAGACGGTTTACAGTTCAACATTTTAAAACAGGAAACTGTGGAGATTTGTTTTTATTTCTCACTTTAAGCTATTCAAATTTTAAAAACAGCAATTGTGTATAGATGATGTTGCCACTAATGATGGTCAAATTAAATTTGAAGCCTAAATCTCTCTGCCTCTCCCTGTTGAGGTGATGTGCCTGTCCAGTAGACAAATGATGGTCCTCTTGTGTTTCTCCATGTGTTTCGTGTTCATCTGCTATCTCGATTTGTCTCTGTGGTGGCAAGTTTTACCAAGAATGCAGAAACACGTTGAAATAAATGCACAGAAAGTCTGCGTGTATGGTCGTCAAAATGATTTAATTTGAGCAACAACAGAGCAGAAGTCAATCAGTGAAGTCTTGTGGCTGCCGCCTCAGCGCAGAGCAGCAGATAACATCCTATAACACGTTTACAACCAATCACAGTTCGACAACTGTAACCAACTAACCAATAACAGGGCTCTCAGCCCAGGAGCTACCTTATCAAAATAAGAGAGGTCATGCATTGCTGGAGTCTTGAAGTCTAGGGCAACAGATTAAAACAGCCAAAACTAGTTATCATAAGATTTGAGTACTGGACAGCATCAAGGTAAAACAGAAGTAAATAATTAGTCTATAACAATCCCTCCTCTTGAGTAAACAATACTCAAAACCAAATCAAAAGGAACAATTATTAAACGTCTGAACACAAACGCAAAAATCAACACCAAATACAAGAAAAGTAGTGCAATTTATATGACGACCAAAACATATTGTTATGATTGTTGTCTTTGTTAATGTTTTATTTTAGTTTCTGTCTTGTCATCTGTTTTCTTCCTCCTGTCTGCCTTTGCTCCAGCCCCGCCCACTCTCACCTGCTCCTCATGTTTCTCTCCCAGGTGATTTCTGTTTGTGCTCGTTAGTCTTATATTCAGTGTCTTGTCTTCACGTCCCTGTCGGATCATTGTTCTGTATTGTCCTGCCCTACCAAGCCTTGTGAGTTTTTTTTTTGAGCTGCCCTTGTGCAGTTTTTGTTTAAATAAATTTTGATTTTTGGTTCTTTTGAAACTGCCTGCATCGTGGGTTCATCCCTGCCCGAAATTCCTAACAGTGTGGAGGAAGTGAAT